AAAAACCTTCTGGTTTGGAAGTATGTCACCCTCACTTCCTATCTGAGAAAACAGCCAACCTTTTAACCTAAGTCACACAGTCCTTTCGAGATAGTCTAAGGTGGCCTTTACCTTTAAGAGGTGGAGGAAAAGAGATGAAAAGAGTAGGCCATGGGCTCTCTGGACCTTCCTTTCCCAAGAACAGCCAGTTCTGGGTGCAGTCTCCCTTCTAATCTGCCCTAGGGCTCTCGGACTTAAGTCAAAGTCCTTGTGTGTTATGCCCATTGAAGTTCAAGTGACAAAGTTCACAAGTAACTTATCTCCAACTGTTCTAAAGGCACATTAGCCTTACTTACTGTAAAAAGGTTGACATGTTTGTCCAAGTTCCCAAGCTGTGTGACGAAGTGTGATCTTAGGAAAGGAGAAGAGAGCGAACGCAAGTAGTATGCCCTCCACGACTAGAATGTTCTGAAGTGCAGTCACTGGGGACTTCCCCAGTTACCACCCTGCAGTGACAGGCTGAAGCCTGGGCTGAGTTTTCAGCTGAGTGTCCTACCTCCGCCTCGCCCCCCAAGTTCCAGCCACTCTGGCAAACTCCATTGTCTCAGTGCTCTCAGAACACGCTGTCTCCAAGGCTCGCTGTGTGTTGGTGACTTCTATCCAGTCAAGCCCAGTCTCCAGTAATAGCCTCTGGAAGCTTTGCCCTCTCTCCTGTGCCCATTCCACGGGGCCCATCGCAGTATGGCGGCCACTCTTCTCTGTTTCCTTTTCTTTTTTTTTTTATAGTTACTTTTTTTTTTTTTTTTTTTGGTTTTTTGAGACAGGGTTTCTCTGTGTAGCCCTGGCTGACCTGGAACTCACTCTGTAGACCAGGCTGGCCTCGAACTCAGAAATCCGCCTGCCTCTGCCTCCCAAGTGCTGGGATTAAAGGCGTGCGCCACCACTGCCCGGCTCTGTTTCCTTTTCTAAAAGGGGAGCTCATCAAGACTGGGCTTGATTCTGCCCTGATCCTCCCGCAGTGCTAAGCAGAGCACTTTGTGGATGGGAAGGGACAAGGTTGCTGAACTCCGAGACTTAGATCCCATCCACCCTCTCCTCCTGGGCGTACTGACACTGAGAAATCACCCGCCATTAGGAGCTCTCATCTTTGTCCTTGTTGCCTGGGGAATTTCCCCTCCTCTTTTCTCCTTATCTGATACCCCAGAACCTGGGGCCTGACCTGGTTACTCACTGCTGGCCTCTCTTGCTTCTGTCATTTGTCCTTTGCCAATGCATGCATGTGTTGTGTGTCCCCATGTGGGTGTGTTCATCTCCGTATATACATGTGGAGACCAGAGATTGACTTTGAGTATCTTCCTATGTTTCTCTGCATTACTGTTGTTGTTGTTTTAGATTTATTTTATGTGTATGAGTCTTTGGCTTATAAGTATGTTTATGCATTGAATGTATACCTAGTGCCTGGGGTGGTTAGCAGGCACTGGATCCCCAGAACTGGAGATACATAGGGCTGTGAGCCAGCATGTGGGTTCTGGGAACTAAACCATAATCCTCTGCAAGAACAAAAAGTGCTCTTACCACTGAGCCATCTCTCCTGTACCTTCACCTTATTTTTTGAGTCTCTCAAGAACCTGGACTTAGTAGGCAGTGAGCCCCAGGGATCTCCTCTGCCTTCCCTGTGCTAGTGGTTACAGGTGCATGGTGCCATTGCCTGGCTCTTATGTGGGTGCTGGGGACCCACAGTTAGGTCCTCAAACTTGTGCGGTAAGCAAACACTTTATGCGCTCAGCCAGGTCCCCATCCTGTTTGCCAATATTCATGATGTTCACTTCTAGGCCTCCATGATGACCTGGCCTGCAGCGGAACCCTGGTGAGCCTGTGGTTTCTGTGTCTCTGGCATATATGGGGAGAGGGGCGAACACAGTCAAAGATATTTCTATATTTGGGGTGATTGATCCCCCAGCGTCCTGACTGTAGACGTGACTGGTGATTGAATAACAGCAGCTGTGTTCTGTTTCCAGACACAGAGAGCCATGGCTTCCTGAGCCTTTCTGTCACCACAATCTCATGTTTCTGGAAATTATGGAACAGCCAGAATCACTGTACGCATTATTTATACAATGCCTTGACCAAGAAGCCACTTTCTGGAATCCACTTGACTTACATGTTACTATGTCATTTGGAAGCAACTGGCAGGGGGTTTGGGTTTTTTGGTTTGTTTGTTTGGTTTGTTTTTTGTTTTGTTTTGTGGGTTTTGTTTGTTTTGGTGAGCAGGAGTGGGGGTTGGGGGCGACAAATCTTTTTTTTTTTTTTTTTTTGAGACTGAGTTTCGCTTTGTAGTCCTGGCTGTCCTGGAACTTGCTCTGTAGACCCAGTTGGCCTTGAACTCACAGAGATCCATCTGCCTCTGCCTCTACCTCCTAAGTGCTGGGATTAAGGGTATACAGCACTAAGCTCAGTCCAACTAACTTTAAAGGATGATAGAAGCCAGGTCTGGAGACATGGCTCTGTCATCCTAGCTGCTCCAGAGGCTGTAGCAGGCTTGCGAAGGTCAGCTTGGTCTACAGAGAACAATGGAATTATTGAGGGAGTTGTACCAGGTTGGGGTGTTATGATGCAAAGCATAATACAGGCTTCAAATCAACAATCATAATCAATACACGATTTAAAATTTATTTCATGAGTATGAGTGTCTGCCTGTGTGTAAGCATGTGCATCATATGTGTGCCTGATGCCCATGGAAACCAGAAGACAGTGTCTGATCCCTTAGAACAGGAGTTAGGGATATCATGAGCCCCTGTGTGGGTGCTGGGAATTGAACCCAGGTCCTTTGCAAGATCAAGTACTCTTACTTTTACTCTTTCTATTGAGCTAGCTTTCCAGCCTCTATCTATAATCTTTATTTAAAAAGATATACTTACTTTTATTTTATGTGCATGACTGCTTTCATGGTGTACATGTAGAGAGGCCAGAAGAAGACGTCTGATCCTCTGGAACTGGAATAACAGCCAGTTCTGTGCTGCCACATGGGAACTGGGAACAAACAATTGTCCTCTTGCAGGAATAGCAAGTGTTCTTAACCTCTCTGGCCTTGACATATAAATCTGTTTACCATGTTGCCCAGGCTGCTCTCCAACTCTTGATCTCAAATGTTCTTCCTGCCTCTACCTTCTCAATAGCTGCAGCTGCAAGTACCTAACTTACAGTTCTTTATGTTTTGAAGTCAGAATGCATATATATAAAAAGGTAGTGGAAGGGTTTGGTACTGTATGTGGTTGAAGACTTTGCAGGTTTGCTTGTTGTTTCTGAGAGTCTAGGTTCTGCAGGTCAAGAAGTTTAACTAAAGGCGTGCACCACCACTGCCCGGCAAGATGGTTTCTTTATGTTTCAGACCCTTTCAACTTCTACATGAGGGTGGATTACAGGCCCTATCGTCCTAATGGAGACTATCAAGGGCACACGAACTGCTAGTGCTTACTGAGGACTAGGCAGTCCCCTTCTGAGGAGACATGAGCAGCCGCCACTCCCACCAGAGAGAGCAGTGATGTCAGACTGAAGGATCAGTCCCATCAAAGTCTAGCTTGGTGAACCAAAAAGTTGACCAGGATTGCTTATGGTCAGGGCTCATTTACAGGGCCGTCAATCGCTCAAAGGCAGCTAGGTCACTGAAAACCTGAGTCCAGCTGGGTGACCAATCAAAATCTGCATCCCTGGATCCCCCAGCACAACTCGCAGGCAGCTTCACTGAAGAGTCTGTGTTGCCCCAGCAACCCCTACCTCACTCACTACCTTGAAGAGGGCCCTCAGGAATCTTCTGAATCTCACAATCCTCCCTCTGATGCTTCAGTTCAGAGGAGACAGCTACACAGCAGTGAGTGAGCAGAAGCTAGGGTTGCCTTATTGTGCTAGCATATTAATTCAAGAATCTTTTGACTACCAGTGAGATAATTTCCACTCAGGTTGGGTATGGCAAGACATGAACTTCATGGTAAGGCATCAAAACTAGAAACTCAGGAAGCAGAGACTGGGACATTAGCCAGCCACATGTCTTTGTCTCAGTTCCTGTGTATCAGTATCATTTTTCTCCTAGTACACAGACTGGCTTCTTCCACTTGACAGGAAATATGATTGCTGCAGGCATAGTCTGAAATCTTCACTGTCTTGTCTTTTAATTTCATGTCTAAAGGAAGAACTGTGACTTACCTAGAGTGGGGTTCCATTCTTAGTTACAGAGAGAGAGAGAGAGAGAGAGAGAGAGAGGAGAGAGAGAGAGAGAGAGAGAGTGACACTAACATATATACATAAATAAAAAATAAAATCTTAAAGAAAACTGGCTGGCGGTGATTAAGTACGCCTTTAATCCCAGCACTTGGGAGGCAGAGGCAGGCAGATTTCTCTGTGTGTGTTGGAAACCAGCCTGGTCTACATAGTGCTTTCCAGGACAGCCAGGGCTACCTATTGAGACTCCGTCTCAAAATAACAAACAAACAAAACAATAAAATCCGCCTAGCTGTAACCAAGTACATTTAGTCAGATAGGTACAGTACAGTGAAGGGATCTTTTAAAAACCAGGTCTAAGAGTCAGAAAGGAGCTCAACGATCCCAAAATAGAGTAAGTGGGGGGTGAGCAGAGAATTCTCGGCAGAAAAGGCGCGCCGAGCTGGAGCTGGCAAAGGACCGCAACCGGTGCTGCAGCAGAACTGGACCCGCACCACGATCTCGCCAATTTCCGAGCCACTGGGAAACCCAGGAAGGAAGCATTTCGTGGCCATGTCTACAGGAAAGAGAACCGATGGATTCGTGGCGCCTGGCCAGGGTGATTAGGAGATGACACCGGACCTAGAAGGCTCTCGGGTCAAGTCGCGGGAGGAGGCAGTTCCTGCGCGGAGAACCGGACCGGCCCACGTGGGTCAGGCCGCTCCGCCCAGCCGCGCAGCCGCCGCTGGACTCTGCAGTCCGGGCAGGGGTTAGGGACGCTGTGCCGGGAGCAAGCAGCCGCGCCACCACGCGTGCACGCGCAGGTCCAGGACCCCCCACCTTGCAGCGAGCAGGCCCCGAGGAACCGTTGCGAGCCCCGCAGGAGCGGGTGCCTCTAGGCCGTGAGTCCGGGCCCTGATGGAGGGCTTGGGGCCCACCGCAGGAGAGCGGGTTGGGGAGCTGCCTCTGTAGAGATTAGGATCACAGTGCTCTGTCCCTTAGGAGGCTGCCAATCCCCATGCTACAGCCGCCCCTTCCCCCTTCACGCTACAATGTGGATTAGCTTGGGGAAAGTCCTGATCTTTTAGGATGTCTGGACTCATTTCACCGACTTTTCGAACCTGGATCCTTAGTCCCATTCCCACCCTACCTCAGCTTCCTTTGTGAGCCCGGCCAGATTTAGGAAAAAATTTAAACTAGAGTATGTGTCGGGAGTGGAGGTGGGGGTGGGGGAGGTGGTAGGAGTGTCTTCAGGCCTTTTCTCACAAGCCAAAGGGGTGAAACATCTGTCCCAACCTCAGTCTCTCTTCATGACGTTTGCCCATTGCTGGATGTGGGGAGGGGCCTGCCATCTATAGGGGAACCTTTCTAGTGGGTGCTTGATTGACTTAGTAGTATTTCTCTCTCATGAGGCCTCAGTTCTTTCAGTCATAGAAATGTGGTCAATAGAACCTCCTGTCAGTTCCTACTCAAAAGCGATTATTGGGGAAGAAAGAGAGGGAGGGATCAGGACGGAGCAAACTGGGCGCGGTGAACATGTACCAGGAGCACTGGTGTTCAAGGGACAGATCTGCAAGAGAGACAGCTTGAGATTGTGGGTTCAGGAGACAGGGGTTCCTTGGTGTGGTGGAGGAGAAAGAGATCAGCTCCTCAAGCCCTGGGTCCTCTGCAGTAGCCGCCTTCTGGTCCGATTACCGTGTCTTCCTAAGTACAGGAATCCCACGGTAGTCGCTCTTATTCACTCTCTGCAGGTAATTACCGACACCTGCTATTGCTGGCTTTACAGTAGAGCAATGGTTCCCAACCTTCCCAATGCTGCCACCCTTTAAAACAGTTCCTCATGCTGTGGTGACCCCCCAACCAGAAAATTATTTTTGTTGCTACTTCTTTTTGTTTGTTTGGGTTTGGTTTTTTTGTTTGTTTTTGTTTTTCCAGACAGGGTTTCTCTGCGTAGCTCTGGCTGTCCTGGAACTTGCTCTGTAGACCAACCTGGTCTTGAACTCATGCGATACACCTGCCTCTGCTTCTCAAAGCGCTGCGATGAAAGGCATGAGCCACCAAGACTCACCCATTGTTCCTACTTTATTACTGTAATTTTGCTGTTATGAATCATCACGTAAATGTTTGTGGTCTTCGATGGTCTTATGAAGTTTATCTGTCTATACCTATACATCTATATAGATATAGATGTGTGTTCCTTTTGGAAGTATTATTTGTTGTTATTTAACTAGACATTTTTTTAATTAGTATATCTGTGTGTGTGTGTGTGTGTGTGTGTGTGTGTATGTGTGTATATGTAGGCACACATGCATGTGGGTGAACAGAGAGGCCAGAGGAGTGGGTGGCTATGAAGCTGGTGATGCAGGCAGTTGTAAACCACCTGACCTGAGTTCAGGGAATGAGACATGGGTCCAGTGTACTTAATTGCTGAGCCATCTCTCCAGCCCCTAAATTTATATATATATTGTTTTTCGAGACAGGTTTCTCTGTATAGTCCTGGCTGTCCTGGAACTCACTCGGTAGACCAGGCTGGCCTCGAACTCAGAAATCCGCCTGCCTCTGCCTCCCAAGTGCTGGGATTAAAGGCGTGCGCCACCACTGCCCGGCCTAAATTTATATTTTTAATTGAAGGAGAGTCAGTGGAAAGGCTGTGCCAACCACTTAGGTCAAAACGACCAGAACCAAAGGAGAGTTGGTCAAAATGACCAACAGTGAGATGGGCATGGGAGGAGGGTCAGAGTCCAGGGTACTCCTGGGCATTTGGCTAGACAGACTTAACAGCAGAGCTGTCCTGTCTGAGGACCCTGAAAGGAGAACTGTTTGGCTGTGTAGAATTTGAAGAACTGGTGGTAGGTCACAGAGTAGGGGTTGAATCCAGGCTGGACACAGATCTGAGAGCTACCTACACATGATGGTTCTTGAAGCTCTAACAGGATGAAGTGACCTGTGGAGAAGTTTGTAGAATAAAGAGACGGTCAGCCTTAAAGGGAAAACCCTGTGAGAGAAACAGACCAAATCATCAGACAGAAGGGAGGGACACCATGAAGAGGTTACTGGGCTCAAGGTTGCTATTCCATCCTGTCTTGCTGTGACTCATTCTTCTGCTTCTCCTTCACTGTCCAGATGTTTGCAGCCATCCAGCCAGGACTGGCAGAGGGGGCCCAGTACCTGGGGAGCCTGCCTCCTGGAGTATGTCAACCGGACCTCCAACCAGACAATAATTCCAACTTTGTGGAGAGTGCTAAGGATGCCAATAAGAACTGGCATGGTGTGCCAGGCAAAGTGGATCCCATTCTGATGAGGAGCTCCTCTGAGTCACCCTCTGATAACCAGGTCTTCCAAGCCACTGGGCTCCCTGAGGCCGGAGTCCGCAGTCCCCCAGAGGGTGCAGAGATCCCTGGTGCTGAGCCAGAGAAGTTGAGTGGTGCCAGCAGTGTCTGCTCGCCTCTGGAGGACATTGGCTATGCCAGCAGTTCCTTGAGCATCGACAGCTTCAGCAGCAGTCCAGAACCTGTCTGTGGCACCCCTCGAGGACCGAGCCCTCTGGATCCCCTTCTGCCCTCCGTGGCCCAGGCTGTGCAGCAGCTGCAGGCTCAGGAGCGCTACAAAGAACAGGAGAAGGAGAAACACCATGTGCATTTGGTGATGTACCGTCGCTTGGCACTGCTCCAGTGGATCCGGGCTCTGCAGCACCAGTTGGTTGACCAGCAGGCCCGACTGCAAGAGAGCTTTGACACCATCCTAGATAACCGGAAGGAACTTATCCGCTGTCTGCAACAGAGGGAAGCACCTTGCAGGCACCAGGACCAGGGCTAAGGGTGTGTACAAGTGTATATATTTGCAGGCTTATGTGTGGTTATGCACAAGGAAGTATGTGAATTAGTTGGCATGTGTGCAAGTAAGCATACGTGATTAGGTGTATGCTGACATGTAAGCAGGTATGTAAGGCATGTGTGAATGAACTTGTATGTATTACATGTTGCATGTGTGTTTATGTATGCATGTGTGGCTAGATATCCAGGAATGTGTATATATATTCCCAAATGTAGAGGCAAAAGATATGTATGTGTGTGTATCCATTTAAATGTACAGGCTTGTGTTGGATGTGAGTGAACCTCTGTGTGTTGAGACTTACCTGTTCCTGTGCTGGCATTAGAAGCATGTGCTAGGAACATGTGTATTTGCAGAGACTTAAGAGCAGGTGTGTGTAAATATATGTTCAATTGCACCTGCAGGGCATCTACCCATCCCCTGTGTTCCCAAAGTCTACCCCAGCCTGATCCTCTACTGAGTCTCACCTCCCAGCTTCCGGGAGCAAGAAGCCTATCTCACTGTCATATATCTGAGAGCTGTGGCTGATCTGTACTCCTGGAGTTGCCCAGGCTACCTTTCCTATCCCCTCCCCTCTGATCTTGCTCTAAGACTGCTGTCCCTAACGTTGGCTTTTTTGTAAGTGTTTTTTATCTGGGGTGGTTGCTTTTTGTTTGTTTTGCTTATGACATACAGTACCAGGGATTGAACCCAGAGCCCTGTGCATGCTAGGCAAATGTCCTACCACTGAGCTGAACACTCAGCCCCGGTTCAGAGATATATTGGTGCACTGGCCTTCCTGTGTATGCATTTATGGTTGTTTGGCTAGGACGGTTTGTGGAGAATTGGCATCAAGAAGGGAACTGGCATAGTGGTGGAGGCTGTGGCCAGGGTGGGAGTGGAGATAAAGAATGATAGAAGAAACTGTCCTCTTAGCGGGGCTCTAGTGGTACACACCTTTAATCCCAGCACTGGAGAGGCAGAGGCAACTGGATCTCTGAGTTCCAGAACAGCCTGGTCTACAGAGTGAGTTCCAGGACAGCCAGGGCTACACGTAGAAACCCAAAGAAAACAAAAGCAAGAAAGAAAGAGAAAGAAAGAAAGAAAGAAAGAAAGAAAGAAAGAAAGAAAGAAAGAAGAAAAGGAACTGTATTTTTGAACCCGGTCTTTGGCTCCGTGGGAGGTGAGGGTGGGTGAGAATGACTCTGATAGAACTCTGTGAAGAACAGAATTCCAAAACACACTATCCTGCTCCACTGTGAGGAGAGGCTGAAAGCCACACTGATTTAAGTCTGTTGAACGGGACTGTGTGTATAAGCATGCAGGTCCAGATGCGCCAAGGCCAGGAGTTGGGGGACCTCCCTTCTCTTCACCTCTCCCTTGATCTGCCTACCTCGCTTTAGCAGCAGTGAATGTCCCACTGATTTGGTTCATTTTCCTTAATCAGACTATCCAGAGGACCCAGAACTCAGCTTTCCAATCAGTCAAAGGACAGGGTCACTCCAGCCTCCTGAAACTCTTAGGATATGTGGCCCCTGGAACGGGGATTGGTGGGCCCCTAGGGAAGGCTTCATGCCATAGAGATGAATTCGTATTGGGTGGATCAGTAGTTAGGTAGTAGAGCCGTTTGTTTTGGTTCTGGGTGCCAAGATAATTCAGGATCCTAGTGGGTGAAGCAATGGCTCAAAGAAGGAGTGGCAGCGGGCTGGAGAGATGGATCAGCGGTTAAGAGCACTGACTACTCTTCCAGAGGTCCTGAGTTCAAATCCCAGCAACCACATGGTGGCTCACAACCATCCGTAATGAGATTGGATGCCCTCTTCTGGTGTGTCTAAAGACAGCTACACTGTACTCATCAATAAAATAAATAAATAAATATTAAAAAAAAAAAAGGAGTGGCAGCAGGTGACAGGGACAGCTCTGATTCTGTGTCTGGCCCTCACTCTCCTCATCTACAAAGTGGGGACTCTTCCACACTATCTCCAAACAGTTCCATCCTTGATGGGAGAGTAGGGGAGATGTGGACCCTGGGACATTTATACAGCTTGCATGATGAACGTGAACCTGGCCTCTGGACTGATCCAATATAAATAAACTAAGGCAGGAAATTAAATCGTTCGAGGATATGTTTTTGTTCTGTCTGTTACCTGGTGGTTTCTTTCACACTGAGTTCCACTTTTAAGCTGGGGCCAAGTGCTGGAAGCCTGAGAGATACTGGGGACAAAAAATCAGAATTTGCCTAGCCGGGTCAGGGCCTCCCAAGGCTGACAGTAGAGATTTGGCCTCTGCTGTAATAGCACCACAGGGGATTGCTCTTGTCATAAGTCAGACTTGTATTTGAACAGATTCTGAGGGCACATACCACACACCCCTGCTCTGAAGGTGCCTTGACTGCAAAAGGCCAAGAGTCATACTGGGTGTGGTGGCACAGGCCTTTAATCCCAGCACTTGGTAGGCAGAGGCCAGCCTGCTCTACAGTGAGTACCAGAACAGCCAGGGCTACACAGATAAACTCTGATGGCTGGGAAAATGACTGAGTTTAAGAGCATGATTGTTCTTCCAGAGGACCCTGGTTCAATTCCCAGCACCCACATGGCAGCACACAACTGTCAGTAACCCCAGTTCCAGAAGACCCAACACCCTCATATAGAAATAAATGCAGGCGAAACACCATTCCATGGGGGGGGGGGGAGTGGAGGGAGAGGAAGGGAGGGGGAATGCTGTCTCAAAAACAAGACAAAAACACATGGTCTTTACATGGCTGACACAGATGTAGTTTTATTCTATCTTATTGTAGTACTACAGATTGAACCCAGAACCTGCATTTTTGAGACTCTTCCCAATGAGCTATGCCCCAGCCATAATATTTAATACCATGCCTGATTGAGATATCAGCTGATAGCAATCTAGATGATTGTCTTCTACTATGGTTTATATGATTATTTCTTTTTTAAGATTTATTTATTTATTTATTTGAGTACACTGTAACTGTCTTCAGACACACCAGAAGAGGGCATCAGATCCCATTACAGATGGTTGTGAGCCACCATGTGGTTGTTGGGAATTGAACTCAGGACCTCTGGAAGAGCAGTCAGTGCTCTTAACCACTGAGCCTTCTCTCCAGCCCCATATGATTATTTCTTAATCAAAAATTCAGGCACTAAACATGTAGCTGCAAAGTACTTATTCAGCATGTGTACAACTCCAGGTTCAGTCTCCAACACTGCAAAAAAATTAAAATAAAATTCAGGCTTAGGAGTAAGTATCTAGTTAGTAATGCTAACACTTGGGAGGTGGAGGCAGAAGATCAGGAGTTCAATGCCATCCTTGGCTACACGGCACCTTTACCTGTTGAACTACCTCATCGGCCCTATACCTGAATTTTTTTTTTTAATAGAAAAGCAGTTTGTTTTTTTCATTAAGGAAGTTGGATCTAAAAATTGGGACATATTTTTCTTTTAAAAATAGAAGGAAGGTCTATAAAAAAAAGCAGAGTTGCCCAGTGTGCACCCCAGTATGCCTTTAATCCCAGCACTGGAGAAATATAGAGTCATGGGGAGCTCTGTGAGGAAGAGCACAGCCTGGTCTACACAGCAAGTTCCACAACAGCCAAGGCTTCCCAAGTAAGACCCTTACTAGGAAAACACACATAAACACACACAGCCCAAAACCAAACAAAATTTACGGTTGGAGCATCTCAATTTGGGAGTTTGTAATCTCAGCTTGGGAGGTTGGGGCAGGAGGATCAGAAATTTAAGAACAGGGCTGGAGAGATGGCTCAGTGGTTAAGAGCACTGACTGCTCTGCTCTTCCAGAGGTCCTGAGTTCAATTCCCAGCAACCACATGGTGGCTCACAACCATCTGCAATGGGATACAATGCCCTCTTCTGGTGTGTCTGAAGACAGTGACAGTATATATATATATATATATATATATATATATATATATATATATATATATATATAAAAAATAAATCTGAAGAAATTATTAAGACCAGCGGTTGGGCTATAAGACACTGTTTCAAAATAAAAACAAACAAACATAATATTCTTTTCCATGAAGAGTTCTCTGGGGCTGTGAGATGCCTCCGTGTAGCTAGGAAGGAGCTCTTGGAGCCAAGCGTGATGACATGTTGGATCCCCAGGCCCTATGCGGTGGAACAAGAAAACTTAATTCCCACAAGATGGTTTCTGATCTCCACATGTGGACACGTGCCCACAACTCATGCACACAAATCAACAAACAATTGTAAAAACAATAAAAACTTTGAAAAGTTCTTTGATGGCTGAGGGGTGTTTAGCAAGAGAGAGACACTGGGTTTGAGCCCTGGTTCAGAAAGGGGAGGATATGAAGTAGGAGCTAGGGGGCCGTCTTAGGGTTTTATTGCTGTGAAGAGACACCATGACCAAGGCAACTCTTATAAATGCAAACATTTAATTGGGGCTGGCTTACAGGTTCAGAGGTTTAGTTCATTGTCGTCATAGCAGGAAGCATGGCAGTGTGCAGGCAGACATGTGCTGGAGGTGCAAGAATCTTGCATCTTGATCTGGAGGAGCCAAGAATAGACTCTCCTTCCATACTAGGTGGAGCCTGAGCAGACAAATCAGACCTCAAAGTCCCGCCTCCACAGTGACACACTTCCTCTAACAAGGCCATACCTTCTCCAATAAGGCCACACTTCCTAAGTGCCACTTCCTGTGACCCAAGCATACTCAAACCAGCACATTGAGCTGAACAAAAGGTGAGAACCAAGCCAAGAAAGCAGTGAGGTACAGTAGCATGTTACAGGACTTTACTAGTCATTTTGGGTCTAGGGATATGCTCAGCTTTATTAAGGTGGGGGTAGGTTTGAAAAGGGGACTGGCCAAAGCCACAACCATTAGAGCAGAATTCAGGGCCAGGATGCAGGACCCCATGGCTAAGCCAACCAAATCCATGATTGTAGTTCCCCATCAGGTAGGAGGGGCTGAGGCTACTTCTGGGTAGTAGCTGGGGCTACTCCATACCTCCAGACCTGGGGTAGACTTACTTTCGTCACCTGTGGCAGTTATAAAGCTTGACCAGATGGACCTTACGATGAGATGTTCTATAGGAATTAAGATTAAATCCCTACTCTGCACAGGACCCCTCCAGGGTCCCACCCTGCCCCTGGCCTTGCATGGCTCTGGTCTGCAAAGATAAAAGAGAATGTGTTCAGGAGCCTAGTGTAGAGACAACTCTGAGTCTGGGAAGGGGACATCAATCCTCCAAGGAGGTCCCAGCCTGAGATTTCTAAATTTGGAACCATGTGCTAATTGTTGAGGTGGGGATTCTTTTAGTCCCTGGGGATGGAAGGGAATAAGGAGAAGCTCATGAACTTGGAAAGGTTCTGGGAGAGAGTCATTGCCACCTTCTTCCCCTCCTGAAGAACGACATTCTATGACCACAGCAAGGATATCCAAACCAGGTTTTGGATGTCATGTGAAGAGTCTTGCTTAGGAATAACATAGGGTGATACTGACCCCAATAGCAGGCTGCAGGCCCAGACCTGAAGCATCAAGGGACTGCCAAGGGGTAGGTAGCCCTACCTATGGAGAGAGAGGATGGTTCCATTCATTCAAACCTTTCTCACCAGGGTCCCCGTCTTGGGGTTTCTACCATTATAATGAAACACCATGACTAAAAGCATATTGGAAAGGAAAGGGTTTATTTGGTGTACGCATCATGATCACCATCCATCATTCAGGAAAATTTTGGTAGCATCTCAAGCAGGGCAGGCACCTGGAAGCAGGAGCTGATGCAGAGAACATGGAGGAGTGCTGCTTACTGACTTGTTCCCTATGGCTTGCTTAACCTGCTTTCTTATACCCTAGAACCAAAAATGGGCAGGGCCACTCCCACAGAATTCATTAATCAAAACAACATTCCCCACAGACTGGTCTATAGGCCAATCTTTTAGAGGCCTTTTCCTTCTCAGATATGTCTAGGTTTGTGTAAGCTGACAAAAGAAAAAACAAAATAAAACAAAAACCCAATTAACCTGGACAGGCCCCCAACT